GGAGTCTTCGGCAATGTCTGTTCGTCATGCCGCACTACTAACAGGAACTCAGAAATAGTAGGCTGTCAGGCCTCCTCTTTTTGAAACCTCTGTCTGTCCTTAAAATGCGCGTTCTACGAGTGTGTAATCTGATGAAAGCTGGGAACATGCCAGATAGAGAAGAGGCGATTCGAAGTCAGTCGAAAGGCATTCTCAGAAACGCGAGAAGATGACCCTGTATATGTCACAAGACTGAACAATCTCGTTTTTATTCATCAAATACAAGCTAGGTAGCTTTTGTCAAATAATATCCAAGGCAAGCGGTCAATGTCACTAAGTGGCCGCAGCTCAGGCTTAGCCGTTTTAACGAAACACACGACATAACGTCGTACTTGAGTACGTCAACTACAGCGACAATAAGTAGTAACGTAACGAATTCCATTAAACTACCCATAAACCATTCATTTTACCGATGTCATCCGCTCGTTCATAAATACATACAAGTGCTACCTTACCGCTAGATAGCCAGGAGCCAGTCAAACGAACCGACGAACCAACCAGTAAGTGACACAAGCGCTCAGTTATTTCATGTTTCAATCATGATGCATGGTCGCTCTTTCTTACTTGGTCTTTTTTTCCCTTGGCTTGTTTCTCCTGTTGCGAGTTCTACTACCTGTCTCCTAATTGATGTCAAAGAACGGCTTGAGCTTAATGATAAGCTGCCATTCATCATTCGTGACCTCCTTGCGATAGAACTCCTTCAGACAGTCGATGCTGGCTCGCGAGATCAAGCTGTACAGTGTGTCTGTCTCCTCGAGCTGTCGACCGTATGTCGGCTGATGACCACCCATTTCAATCTTGACAGCTACTGAGGGTTGTCCCTTCTTGCAGATCGGGATCTGCTTATGATCTCTTTCAATCGATGACCTGCGTAAATTGTCAGTAATGAAACGATGATACAACAAACGAAGTTGGCTCTTGTCGAAGTATGGTCAACTTACACTCGGCCCAAACTTATAACTTCCCTGACACCCGTTGTGGGGTTCTGCTTGACAGCAGCTATCGGCGTGCCCACGCGGAGGTTGCCATCCACCACATCGACTCCCACGACGATGGGGTTAGTCTTATTGAAAACCGCAACCGTGTTGAGGACACAGGGGAAGACGGCAAGTAATTTGGACTCCTCCTTCTTCTTCTCGAGTTGCTCTTCCATGTGCTTCGTGAAGGCGTCGAACAGGTGATAAATAATGTCGGCGGTGAAGATCTTAATACCGTTCTCCTCAGCGTATGCCTGAGCTTCCTTATCCACCTTAACATCGAAACAAAGCATGACAGCGTAGTCAGGACTCTTTTCCAACATCGTACCGCACTGCATTACATCACGCTTGAACACAGGACCAATTCCCACGTTAGCCACGGGAATCTTGCAATCCTTCAAGAAATCGAGAAGGGCCTCGAGCGAACCCAGGGTTGACGCTTGCACACTGACACCTCGTCCGGATGTAGACACACGGCTGAACAGCTTGTTCAAATCCGCCTCGACCTCTTCTTCTAGATCTTCTTCATCGTCGTCCGGTCCAACCACAAGCAACCGAGAACCAGCGATAGCGCCTTCAAGGCCAGGGGCACTAATCTTGACACCCATAGCTGCCTTCACCTCCTTGTTGTGTACATATTGGGACTTGACACGTAGTTCTTTCATGACAGCCGGAGTAAGCAGCGCTCGAATATTCGTAGTGATGGCTCCTTCGACACCACACACGACTATCCGGTCACCTTCCCGAAGAATACCGTTTGACAAGATGACATCGATAGTCATACCAAACCCTTCTATGGCTTTGACTTCCAGGACAGTGGCCTGAACTTCTGAAAGATACATGAGTGAACCAACCATTCTTTCCTGGGTCAGTTGTAAAATGAGTTTCAACATATCCGGGATACCCTCGCCAGTGTGAGCAGAGGTAGGAACCAATGAAACGTATCGGGCCATCGACTTGTTCTCGTAGTACAGCTCGGCGTTGAACCCCTGTTCGGCAAAGGCAAGTTTGGTCTGCTCCAACCGGTTCTTGAATTCGTTCTGCACACCTCGGCTCTGAAGAGCTAAACTCTCCTGGAACCCGTTGTTGTCTACCTTCTTCCAACCGTATAGACGGTCAATCTTGTTGAGTGCCACAATGAAAGGTGTCTTCCGGTCACGGAGCAGCTTCATCGATTCAAGGGTCTGAGGCTCCAGACCGTGCATGATATCGACAACCAGAATAGCAATGTTACAAAGCGAAGAACCTCTGGAACGCAAATTGGAGAAAGACTCGTGACCAGGTGTGTCGATGATCAAAAGACCTGGGACCTTCAATTCGAATTTCCCGTCCTGGTTTACAACAGCAGTCTTCTGCTTGATAGCCTCGCCTGGCGAAAGGGTATTAGTAACTGATTCCGACCGTGGGAGCGACGTTATAACAAACCTGGGAAGTATGTAGCACCAATCTGCTGTGTAATACCACCCGCTTCTCCTTCCTGGACGTTCGTTTGTCGAATCTTATCCAGCAGCTTGGTCTTTCCGGTATCGACGTGACCCAAAATACAGCAAATAGGACTCCGAAGATTTTCTTTAGATCTGGCAGCCAGAGCAGCCTGGTGGGCTTTCTCTCTCCGTTCGGCAGCCTCCCTCTTTCGCTTGGCCTCGGCAGCTCGAGCAGCCGTTGTCTCTTCATCATCAGATGACTCTTCTTCTGACTCGGACTCGGACTCGGCGGCCTTCGGTCGTGAAGGTAAGGCTTTAGTGAGCTCCTTGGAAGAAACTTTCTTTTCAGCTTCTTGATCTGAATCAGCATCCCAGCTATCCTTGACGTCATCACCTGAAGCCGCGGCAGCCTCCCAGTCATCTTCGATCTCTTCTTCTTCCCGAGCTTTCTTAGCAGCAGCTTCAGCGGCGGCTTTTGCGGCGGCTTCTTCGGCAGCCTTAGCCTCAGCCTCCTTCGCTGCAGCTTCCGCTTGTAGTCTTGCCCGTTCGGCCGCTTCGGCCAAGGCTTTCTCTTCATCCACCTACAAAAGAATTAGTAAAGGCAACACATAAGCAGGCTTAAGGAGATTGGGTGATAACCTTTTGGTCAGTCTTCTTGCCCCGCTTTTTGCTGTCGTATGTGACCTTTTTCTTCTTCTCCTCGCCGTCTTCCGAAGGCCCAACCTGGAGACCGGCGGCAATCATCTGCTGTAGCTTCCTTTCATTGCGAGCCTTTTCTTCCTTTTGGGCCTTAGTGAGGTACTTTCCTTCCTTCTTGAGCTGCTCGATCTTCTCTTTTTCCTTTTGCTTCTTGCGGGCCTTCTCTTCTTCTCTTCGCTTAGCCTCTTCTGCTTCCTCCTTCTCTAATGCCGCAAGACGAGCTTTCTCTTCCTCGGCAGATCGTTCGGCTTCTTCGCGTTGCCGCCGTAAATCCTCTTGTTGCTTCTGAAGGGCGGCTAGGTGTGGCGGAAGCTTCTTGCCCTTTTTCGCCGGGGCTTCGACAGCGGCTGCCGGGGCTGCGGCCTCTTTCTTCTCCTCGACGGCGGCCTTTGCAGGCTCTGCGGCTTTAGCAGCGGGTGCAGGTGCGGCGGTCTTCTTCTTGGCGGCCTGGACAAAACAGAGACGGTTAGAGCTCGGAATGGATTTAGATGCGAGAGAGTACGAACCTGCTCCTTTTTCCTCTGCTTCTCTCTCTCCTTTTTCAGTTTCTCCTTCTCAGCCTTGGTCAGCATTCTGCCGTCGCCGGCATCATCTCCATCAGCGGCAGCAGCGGCGGGGGCCTTGGCAGCAGGCTGGTTCTTGTTCTGCTTCGCTCCCTTTCCCTTCTTTTCTGGCAGAGCGAACTCGTCCTCGGCTGTGGCTTCATGGGGGGGCTTGAAGGCGCTGATATCGGTGGGTTCTGGGGTGGCGGGTTTCGCGTCGCCGTCAACGAAGTTCTCGGACAAGCCCTTCTTCTTGCGCTTCTCTCGGTTCTTCTTCATCATGGCCATGAGGCCGCCGACGGGCGCATCATCCTCCTCAGCCTGCTCGTCAGGAGTATCGGCGGCAGGAGCGGCGTCGCCATTTGTGGGTGCAATGGACTCGCCAAGGTCAGCTTCCCAGTCCTCGGCCGCCTTCTTACCTCCCTTCTTCTTAGGCGGCATCGTAGCGGTCTAATGGGGGCTGTCAGCAAATGCTGTCAATGACGATACAGGGTACCTAATGCTACGTAGCAAAACGCAGCGAAACTGAGCGGCTGTGATTGACAAGAAGGTATGCCAAATCGTGGACGCGGGGGTCCTGGTCTGCGAGTAGCCGGGCAGATGAGGCGAGGTGGGGTGAAAGGATGCGATGTTTTAGACGACCGAGGAGAGATCAGGTAATGGGTCTAGTCTGGAGTCACGTCCCAGAAACTTCCAAGACATGGCACGGTCTCGTAGGCTTATCTCCGAGGGCAAAAAATATTGCAGGCGGAAAGAAAAGAGGACTATCTCCTGCTCGTTCTTTCACTGGATGGTGAGAGGGTTCACAGGTAGGGCCAGGTATTTGCTAGTATTTGGCAGTGGAGCTGGTTAATGTGGATGTGGGAAAGTGGGAAGGTTAGAGCCGGCTGGCTGGCCGGCCGCTTTGCGCTATGATATAAGACTGGTGGGGAGTTCACAGTTTCTTTCAAGTGGGTAAAATAATTGTGTGAGCAGCTGTTAACTAAACCTGGGAACCTTCAATTTGTTACCGCAGAAAACGCCGAAAGCCTGAAGGGCCTGGGGGTCGGATAACGACTTAAGCGAGTACAGGAAGTCTTATCTGCTATCGATAGGCATCCAGACATTTGTGGTGGCGATAAACTAAGTACCTATTTGCACAGCCCCCCACCACCACATCTAAGTCAAGGAACAGACTTAAAGAAAGTCTATGTAAAACCTATATATACATACACCCTTAAGCTAGTAGAACAACAGCACCTAAAAAATCAGGAACAAGGATCAAACAAGTTGTTAGGATATGACACTTCCAGTCTACCAAAATGATTACGAAAAAGATACTCCGAATCGGGGAATCGAACCCCGGGCTTGACGGCACTGATAAGCTCTAAACCCCGGAGGTGAAGAGCTTGATGAGAGCGTCAAATGTTGGCCACTACACCAATTCGGATGCGTAAAGTATGTATCAATCGACCTCGGCCGGATTCGAACCGACAATCTCTAGAGGATCAGAGTTACCGAAATCTAGCGCCCTAGCCATTAGGCCACGAGGCCAGGTTGATTGATTGATTGGTGTTGGGCGGCTTTGAGAGAGGTTATGACTCGGAGTCGAAGGGGAGGAAAAGTGTGGAGGCCTTGTCGTGATAGACCCACCAGGAGTTTGGCGGCGCTTGGTTGGATGGTGGATCTACTGTGTGTAACCCTATGTCGACATACTAGGTAGAAGAAATTAATCTACCTAGTTTATGTTACAGTGTGTTAAGGGAAATGGAGATGGAGGAAGAGGAATTACGCCAATAAATTGCCCTAAAATTTACATTCTCTTGAGAGTTTACTATAGATCATGTCAAGTCTCACAGAACTGCTTTGGATAGAAACTTGGTTGTAGTTATCTAAGTATAGCAACAATTATACACTCCTTCGACGTTTGATTTCACCTCATATCTCAACTTTACCAAAAATCACAGTAATGAAAGAAGATCTGAAAGTCATAAGTGTACCATATCCGGATAAGGTCTATCTCAAATCGACAGCCAGCCTTGTATACTAGCCGGGCGGCCATAGTCTAGCTCTAACACCGCAATATCTCGTCATTATCGAACGAGATATTTTCCCAATTCCATCGTTCCCATCCAGTCCCGGCCAGCTTCATTGTAATCATTACTTTTTGAATCTTCTTGTCCGCGTGTCATGTGTGTCATCATCCTACGCACCATGGCCGTTTCAGGGGTGAATACTTCTAAGACTCAGGCTCTTCAACCTCCGGCTTGGCGGCTTCCGCATCCGTCATCTCCTCGTCCTTGTTACCCTCGGCCTTCTCCGGCTCACCGGCTTTGCGGGCTTCCTCCTCGGCGGCCTTCTTTGCCGCCGCTTCGGCGTCAAGCTTGGATTGCAACGCCTGACGGTCAGCCTCGACCTTGTCGAAGTATCTCTGGGTGATAGGTCCAGCCATGGCACGAATCTCGTCCATCTTGGCAATGTAAATAGCTTTGGTGGCGTCCTCGCCTTCCTCGTACAACCAATCCTATCAAGAGTTAGCCACATTGCATTAGTGCACATGGAGAACGTAGAGAACCTACCTCGCTTTCGGTGAGCTTAGATCTCAGCTTGTCCTTCTCCTCCTCGCTGGCGAAGTCGGCGTATTGGTCGTCTAGCTTGTTACGCATATCGTAGATATAAGTCTCAAGTTCATTCTTCTTCTCTTCTGTATCGGCCACCAGTTTATCTTCCATGATCATAGCTGCTTCCTTCTCAAAGAGGCTGCTCTTGGCGTTGGCATCAAGGGATGTGGTTCCGGCAACGATGGGTAGATCGCCCTTGCGAACTTGCTTCTTCACCTTTCGCGTCTTGGGCTTACCCTCAGCCTTCTTATCGTCTGTATCCATAGCCTAGGAGAAAATGTCAGTTGACCTATCAGTCTAGCAGGTGGTTAGGAGACAAGACTCACATCAGGATCTTTCTTCTCGCCATCTTCCGTCTTCTCGTCCTTGATCTCCTCCTCGACCTCCTGGTCTTCGACGTAATAACCGCTCTCTACATTCAAGATACCATGGATGTTAACCCTGGCTTTAAGTTTGCAGATCATGAATTCGGTCTTGGGGTCAGCCTTGACCCCCTTAACAGAGAAACGACCAATGAACGGAGAAACCTTGCCGGGAAGGTCTTCGGGCTTCGAGTATCGTGCCTCCAGATCAAAAGGCTGTTTTCTGTAGAAGGTAAGAATCTTAGTGGAAGGTAGGACATTGCCTCTGTTGAATACAGTCAAGCTTGTGTCCTCATCGGGAATATCTACGTCCTTCTCCCATGAAAACTCAATTGGGTAGTGGACAATATCTGAGACGGAGAAATCTCGGACCTTGAAGACCGGAGAGAGAATAGCACAGGCAAAGGCACAGCCCCGAGCGATAGCCTCATCTTGGTTAAGAGTGAATGAAAGACCCTTGCCGAAAAAGGCTTGAATTCTTTCCTTGATAGCTGGCACACGGGTGCTGCCACCAACCAGCTCAATGTAATCGATGTCGTCTTTGGTTAGCTTGGCATCGGCGAGTGCCTGCTCCAGTGGTGCAGTAACCCGGTTTAGAAGGGGCTCAACGAGGGCCTCGAATTCTTGCCGTGTGACCATAGCGTTCACGTCAATATCGTTCATGAGCGACTCGATGTTTAACGGGGCTTGCTGGTTCGCGGACAGAATTTTCTTCATCTTTTCGGCAGCGGCTTCGACACGGGCCGCGGCCTTGGGGTTGCTCGTGATATCAATCCGATACTTGCCCTTGAATTCCTTCGCGAAATGATTGACTAGGGCCAAGTTGAAATCGCGACCACCAAAGTGGCGGTCGAAGGCAGTTGACTTGACGGTCAGTTCGCCCTTCTTGAATTCAACTACGGAGCAGGAGTAGTTGCTGTGGCCGATATCGATGAAGGCGACACGGCGCGGCTTCTCATTTTCAGCGGGCAAATCAAGCTTCGTGATACCGTAGCCCAAAGCGGCGGCAGTGGTGTCGTTCATAATACGAAGCGGCTTGAGGCCGGCGATCTCGGCAGCGTCGAGAATGCTTCGTCGCTGGACGTCGGTGAACCATGGCGGCACACTCACAACCACATCGGCCACTGGCAGCTTGAGTTCGGTGGCAGCAGTCTGCTTGATCTTGCTCAAAAACATAGCAACGAGCTGTGTGGCTGAGAACTTCTCCTTCTTGCCTTGGTAGGAGACCTCGGCGCCCACCTGGCCGTTGCAGTCTACCAGGGCGGCCGAGACATATTGCTGCTCGATCTGAACTTCGGGGTCTTTGAGAGCGCGGCCAGCAAGACGCTTTAGGGAACCGACGGTGTTCTTAAGGTTTGAGATTTCTTGTGTCTTGGCCGGCTCACCAAGGTAGCGGGACTTGGGGCCGAATCCTACGAGGGAACTGAAGCAAAGGTTAGTTGAGATGGACGAACTATCATCGGCCAAGCAGGTGGCACTTACGGTGTCGCACGGTTAGACACTTCATTTGTAATCTAATCAGCCAAACGATATGTCAGCCTTGTTGATGGGGTCACACTGATATTGAATGGACAAGGAGAGAGAGGGGTGTGACGTACAACATCGACGCCTCGATTTCTCGCTACAGCAATAACTGTGTTGAGCGTTCCGAAATCAACACCTAGAAGACAAACGCCGAAGTTAGCAGGAATAACGCAAACAGATGCGCCGGGATGTCTGATGTCTGGGAATCTGGGCGGGAGGACATACCAACGACACTCATGTTGACGGAGGGAAATGTGAACAAAGGTAAGAGTGTACGCGCTGGATGGAATTCTCGATCGAGAATCGGTGAAGGCGGGTTCTTTTGGTGGGTTGAGCAACAAACAGAGCAAGCGGAAATAGGAACCAGTCGCAGCGGTGAGTGGGAGAGAAGGTCGGGGAATCGGTGGCGGTCGTGAAACCAAGTCGTCTGCAGTTGTTACGGTACGGTGGATGTGTTCTAGTGACTGCCTCAAGCACCACAGCTAGAAGGGCGATTCTTTAAATAAGGAGGGAAAAAAAAAGCTGCCCAAATGCGCACTACAGGTTTACAGGCATCGACTACCTAATAAGGTGGGAGAGCGAGGGGACCCAGGGATCTTGTGGTGGTAGAATTCTGGTGCAGGCTAGCCTCACCCGGACTGCCCCTCCCTGTTCTCTAGCGACACCCCCTTCTTGGCGGGGCGTGTCATCACATTTTGCTGCGACGCGAAACTTCTAGACGCTTCAAGCAAACATCCGGCCAAAACATTTGCAACGCATGCGGTCCACCCTGGCCAACAGCGGCCACCGCCAGCCTTGTCCGCGAACCCATGTATTAGGTAATTCTTGTTTACTATTATGTGTCGCCAAGTGCTCTTCTACCGCGTATAATTTTTTTCCAAGGGATTTCTGATAAATCGTACTCTTATTATTATTATTTCTAATCCTCTCTTCCGTCACAGCCGTCTTGGCCAGGTTTAACGACTACGACCACCCCCTTATCACCCCGCCTCCGGTGTTATCGCTGTCTATCGGTCGCTATCGCTTCTTGAGTCAATGGTGGGGTTGAGTGTCTATTTTTTCCTCCCCGCTCAGACCGCCCCACAGTGCAGAAAATAGATGATGTAAGTCTCTACGACTAGGTAAAAGTAGCCCTACTAGGTCTGCTACCCTTTTTTGCTAGGGATGCTATTAATTTCTATAACTATGTAGATTAGCTCCGTTATTTATATAAATTAGGTATAAATTAAAATAAAAGTATATACTTATTAAAATATTTATTATTGTTTTAAAATAATAATATTTATAATAATTAAATATTTTTATTATAATAAAATAAATAATATTTTATATAATAAATATATTTAATTAAAAAAAATTAAAAATTATTATAGTTTTTTTTTTTTAATATTATAACTAGTATTATTTCCGGTTTTTTTTTTTTTTTTTTTTATTATTATTTTTATATTTTATTTTATATAATAATAATTATAAAATATATTTTAATATTTTAAATTATATTTAATATTATATTATAAAAGCTTAAAAAGTTTTAAATATAATAATAATAATAAAAATATTATTTTTAATATTATTAAAAATATTATTTTTAATATTAATAATAATATTATTTTTAATATTAATAATAATATATTTATTAATAAGTTTAATAAAAGTATTATTATTATTAATAATAATAAAAAATTAAATAAAATTATTATAAGCTTTTAATATAATTTAATTAATATAAATAATATTTTTTATAATTATAGTTTTAATATTAATATTATAAGTTATAATATTAATATATTATTAATTATTATATAAATTTTATTTATATTTTATTATTTTTTAATAAAGTTAATTTTAAAAGCTTTTATTTATTAAACTAATATAATATTAAATTAATAAATAATTATAAATTAATATATTTTTTAAAATTAAATTTTTTTATAATAAAAAGT